CGCCTGCAGGGTGAGGTGGCACCGGGAGGTGGTGGACAGCACGTGGGGCCCTGCGGTCCCCGGGGCGCCCTGTGCTAACTGGACCGTGGGCCTCTCTTCTTTCCTTTGAGAAGCACTGAAACTCCCGAGCATGTCCCTATCCTATGGATAGGAGACTAGTGAATTCCGTGTCCTCTGCTTGTGTCACTCCACGAGCTGTCGCACGGCCTGGTGTCCCCGACACCTCACCCACCACAGGAGCGCTGATGTAGTTTTTCCAGAGGGTGGGACGGAGGGACGGACGGACAGAGAGCTCTTCTGTGGGCTCAGCCTCTGGGACCTTCTCTGCCTGGACGGAAGGTTGCTGCCTCCCTGTGGGGGCTTTTTCATTCCGTGCCCTGGACTTGAGGTCTGCCTGTTTCGTGTGTCCCTCCCTTTGCTGGCCGCAGCTCTCTGTCCAGGAGACGTATCCTCTGTCCGTTCTCCTTGTAGGGAAGCAATGGTACTAGTGGTTCTGTCTCTGGTTCTGGGATGCTGGCCCAAGAGTCGCGAGTGAGACCAGCTCAGTCGGGCCAGCGTCGCACAGGGTCATTAGGCCCGGCCACGGCAGCCTGGGCATAGGCACAGGAAGCTCATCCGCGACATCTGTCAGCAGCAGGGAGGGGAAGGACCTCGCCAGGGCTCGGCATCCGCCCGCCCGCCCAGTCCTCACTCTGAGAGCCGCTCCACTTCGCCCTCTGGTTTCCGGAGCGAGGCTGCTCTCCCCACACTTGTCCTGTGCTGCTTCCTGTCCTAGGAGGAGCAAGAGGCGCGGTGAAGGGCCACGAGCCACAAAGGGCCAGGCCTGGCTCTACTCCTCGTGTCCCTCCTTCTGGCTCAGCCCCCAGGTTATTTATTTATTCCCATGAGGACTGCACTGCGGGCCCCCTGTTCCCGAGGTACCCGAAGGGTGACGTCCTGCATCCGTGCCCTCCCCTAGCAAAACCACATCCTGCCACACGAGGGTCGCATCACGGAGGGTACCTGAGGGCTCTGCTGAGCCCTGGCCCACGATTTCAGATTGGATTCTCACTCTGCCCGTGACTTCTCCCCAGTTCGAATATATTTAAAGCAGTAGGTATAATAACAGGAACACGAAGACCTGGGCTGAGTGGACCACTCTGTGTATCAGAGAGGAACCTCCTGTCATCACCAGAAAAACCACTGTAAAAACCAGACCTCAAAGATTTCAGTATTTAGTATAGTGAACAAACGACCAACATGTGCAACCACTCCCGAAAGTGTGTTGGAATGCATCAAAGAGCAACAATAAAATTTTATTCACTAATAAATATCAATAAAATAAGTTCAGATGATGGAAACCACACTAGTTCTGATTCATGTCTTTTTATCTTTCCATTGAAGAGATGAATCTCTTTATGTAAAACTTGAAGGTGTCTGGCTCTTTTCGGGGAAGGTAAATGCAAGGCATATATGTTCCATAGTGCTATTGACTTCCACTCCCTCAGCATAATACTGTAACTTGCCAACCAGAACCCGCTTCACTTTTCAGGGCTGCATACTGTCCCACCACACATCCTGTGAATCCATAGCTGCTGCCCTGGGGACTGTCTGCCACAGACAGTCATGGAGTTCCTTGTGCTCTCATACTATCACCTCGCTGGGGTGAACGCACCTTGCACCTTTATGTGAGATAAATCACGTCCCGTGGAGTTGTGTTAAGTGAATGAAGAACCAAGAACAGCAGAGCCGCCGACGGGGGATGGCGAGAACACGGACCTCACGTTGGAAAGCAGTGAGGCCGCTGGAGTCAGCATCGCAGTGGGAGATGGCAGTGAAGAGCCAAAGCAGGTGCCGCCATCTGGCAGTGCTGTGACCTCGGGGGAGGCCTGTGCCCTGGAGCTCCTCCACGTTCAGGTCTGTGAGATGGGGTGGCAGTACACCCTGAGGGAGGGGAGTCCGTACTCTGCCTTTTCCTGTGCCAGACATCAGCCTGGGCCCCCTGTGCTCCTGAGCTGACATCACCCTGAGCAGCGGGGGAGCGGGACCTCGGGCCCTGGGGAGGATCAGAACTGAGGATGCAGGGAAGGGCAGCTGCTCCAGACAGCGACAGAGCGGCCTCCCGGGGCGGGGGGGCGCCAACACGGGGGGGGGGGGGGGGG